TAACCCCCAAACAAACCTCAACAGTATACGAATAAAAACTAGACTGCTGTGCTAAGATCACTCAATGTATTTAGAAATATCCTGAAATTCAATATTAGGACTACTCAAAAACACAGCATTCAATGAATCGGTCTGTCATGTGTGGCAAGAAGGCAGAAAGACCAGCCCGCCATGTTACGTCCGCCTGCTGAATCCAAGGAACTCAACCGAAGTATTCTGCTGTACTTACGTGAGATAACGGCCAGAATGTTTTGGAAAATCGTCTTCTCTTTTTCGGCGGAATTTTTAAAGAGTAGTGGGCACAACGATATAAGAAAGAAAGAGGGCTGTTTTTGCCATATGTTTAGATGAGGGACGAGCGTCGGTCGAACTGTGTCTTCTCTAGCTGCTGGTGGGTGGAGAACTACTGGAACCGAGCACGGGAAGTGGAAAAGGTAATCAACGGCCCGGGGGCGGGACCTAAGGTTCAGTTCCACCAATGAGCTGTCTGTATTTTTGAGAACATACCAAATATGTATTTCCGAACATCCATACAGGCCGCAGCAGATCTGTGATGTTTACTCACGTTACATAACCATAAACTTTCCGTAGATGGCCACTCGTTCAAGTCAATCAGTCCTCAAGACCTGTGCTGCTCTTGCTTTCATGGGATAATTCAGATACACTTATTCCACCTGTTATCATTTATGTATAGGAGATAGACCCTACGCAGAAACACTCATTTAACACAGTCCACTTGCAGTTACAAAAGCATAATGCTATTTTAAGCATAATGGTAAACAAAATGTCAAATAATAATTTCTTAAAAACCACAATTGGTGTGATTAAGTTATATATCATATCATGTATCACTCCCTCAGTATATGAAATCAAAAACAAAAATGTTATATAGAGCAGATAGCCTGTTTCACCATAGAGCCAAACAGTAAATGCAGTAAACACAGTCTATGCATTTGCCTGTCTAATAAGATAAACATTTTATTGAATTTCCAAAACTCATCAAACAATAATCTTCTGTAAATATAAATGTATGGCGGAAACTTTGTACCCCTGCCTTGGGATATAACCTTTTGGGCTATTTGTTTAGCTTAGGCAAATTTTAGTTTGAATTAGTTATATTTAAGTGTATGTTAAGTAAATAGCTCAAGAGCTTATTGGGAACAAACAATGCAAGTAAAAACGTTTTAAGCCATATTTTCTGTTTTTCTTTTGAATGTAATATCAACAAACGTGAGTGTGCAGAAATTAAAATTAGTGGCACTGCATGAATTTTACACATGGGTGTGAGAATAATCCTGACTAACTTAAAGTAAATGTGAAGAAAAGATAACATGACTAATCATTGCTGGCTCAACCTTTGAACACTTTTAGGCGTTCACAGATGCCTTGAGGATTTTTGTATTTTTCTTGTTTGATTAAGTCTGTGTGAGAATGCAAAAAGATGACCTTGTTTTAAGTCACATGCTGGCAAAAAACTGTCTCCTCTATGATAATATGGTCCTGCACTCACCACAATTTTAATTTCTTTGAGATAAGCACTCCTTTTCATAAACATGTTTACATTCAGTGAATGTAAGGCCAATATTTTCATCCCTATTTTTTTTTTTTTCCAGAGAGCATTCATGAGCCTTGAAGACATTTAGAGTGCATAAACGCAGGCCTTATGTCTGGGAAAGTTATGAGGTTGAGAAAGTCACTCGGCCCAAAGCCTTCAAACTACAACACTCAGTCAATTACATCTTATTACTGTTTCCACACTTTCTCTGGATTCATATTTTAAAACAACAGTGTGGGAGTGACAAAATTCAGAAAATACAAAACACACAAATAATGTCTCTGTCTGTCTCTGCTTTTGACGTTCTCTGTTTTCCTACTTGTGTCTGATGGAATGTAGGGGATTATTAAGATTCAAGAGCTTATTGAATATTTTGTTGATTAGACCATAAGCCTTTGTCACACTCACTCATAGCCTTATTTCAGCTGTGATAATTTAATGCTTTATGCAATCCAGTTTGATGGGAAGAACTTCATTTTGTAAAAATTCATTTCATTAAGCATGGTAGTCAGGAGTTCGGTATAACGCTGAAAAAACTCAGCCTGCAGCCACCTTAGTCGTATGACTTGTGTTTCTGTGATACTGGTGCAACTCGCTGCATGGCTTCATCTGTGTGTCTGTGGCAGTCCGCCTGTCCTATAGCTCTTATCTTTGTTTTATGACAGACTCTCCATGGGACACTGTGTTCACAAAACAGCATGGCCTAGAAAACACCAGATACCGCACAACAAGGAAAGTCCTGTGGAAGCAATCTGACACTAATATTTTGAAGTGTCTCAGCTGGCTGGCCTCCTTTACTATGGTCAGAGAGCAAGAGACTGGGTTAAATGTATGGATTCACTCTGCATGGTCATGCTAATGGCCCTGAGGCATAAATTACAGAAATATCTTAATCAGATTGGGCTAAGGACTTCTAAATCCTGAGAAATAAGGTGTTTCCAGATACTGGATTTTAAATCTATTTGGGAGAGTTAAGTGGGACAGTCAAATAAAGATTTATTTGTAAATATTGTGCAATATATGATACAAGATAAAGTCCTTAATAAAACCATAAATCATAGACAGATGACAATAAACACAAGGTGTACAAAAAGCAAGCAAGGAAATGAATATTCTATCAGTGAAATGATATTCTAATATCATCATGATATTTTCATGTTTAGAAAATTAATGGTTTTTCAAAGTAATGTTTGCATTCTTTCCAGTTTAGGTTAAAAGATACTTTTTTGTTTATAACTGCACAAAGTCTGTAATTAAGACTGGTGAACATGCAAGTTTTCATTATCATTTTAAATGGGTATAATGCTGTTTTCTTTAATGTCATCCCAATTTCCTATTGACAACAGAACACAGTGTAAAGTATATAGTAAAGTATGTGCTTCAAGGTTCTCATCAGGGTTCATGGCGACAGGAGTAAATTAGATTTTGTGCTTCAGTTCCACTAAGTTTAGGTGAATGCCTTCACTGTCTTCAGGGAGGAAATTCAATTTGCAACCAGAGGTAACAGATATAAACAAACAACAGCATAAATAACCAATTCTCAATACCCACAAATCCAAAATTAAAACATTTTCCAAACAATGACGGTTTCAATAAGACAACTTATCAGAGTCTAAAGGATGCTAGAGTGGCTCGGCAGATTCAGTATCTGTATTTATGGCAGACGATTAAGTAGCAAGAAACATCAGAAATGTCAGTGCAGAAATGTCAAGATATTTTTGAAGGTGACTGATTGTTAATGACTAATATTTTTAATCTGTAAAATGTCTGCTAAATACATCTGTTGTTCACAATAGAGCTTTTTCACAACGGACATTTTGACTTGTCATAGTGGGAAAACCACAGGTGTTACTAATGACTTAACAATAACAATAATAATAATAACAATGGTTCTGTGTTCCTGTAATTGCAATGACAATGACAATGAGGTACAATTAATTTTATTATTTGTACCATAATTTACTGTGACACATCAAAATGTCTTCTGTGAAAAAGGGGAAGGCCTATTTTTTTATGACACAAAAATTAAGGGATCCTTATCCAAAAAGTTTTCTGCAAGTTATGTGTTTGCATATGAAAAATTTATATCAGCCAATATATAATGATCATATTGTTTAACTTTTGAAAATCCGATACCAATGTCAACATGAAGATCCAGCATGAGTCTGGCTCTATAACATTTGTTGGAATAATTCTAACCCTACTTTTATAATAACACTTTTGAACATGTAGCAGCACAGAAGCACAGATGATGTAACCACGTGAAACCATAAACAGCTTATTCTTTAACTCTAGGAAAGCAGACAAGATGGACTATTTCTTTTTTTTCAGATAACCAGAGGCACTTGGTAGAGAGGAACATGTGTGTGCACAATGATGTTTAAACTTACATTTATTATCAGAATAATGATATAATAAGAATTGTTAAAGAATTACAAACAACTGAATACTTTTAAAAGCACTTGTTGACCTACAAACATTTACTGTCACCCAAAGGCACTGACTGTTCAGTAATGCAGTAGTTACATCTCACCAGAGGAGGTCGATATTGAGAGCCACTGACTGAGCTGTCAAAACAAACACATGCTGCCTTTAAGTACTGTCAGAAATTATGAAATTATTGTCAATTACAACTGGGGGGAAAGTCAGTAGTAGTAAAACTTATGAAAACAATATGAGTCAAACAAGTTAGGTCTCATAAAACCTATTTTCTCCTTACCAAAAATAAATAAATAAATAAAATCTAAAAAATAAAATTAAAAGATACATTTTGAACACATGACTTAATTCCTACACTGTGGTATTTCTGCTTTTAGTTAATACTTCTCACCACAACTGCGTACTACCAACCACTTTGAGTGGCTGAGCCTCATTTCAACCATTTATTCATTCAGCTATTTTAGCTTACTCAATTTGGCTTACTCACTTTTAGCTCAATGTATCCATAACATTTAGCTATTTAACCATTGATTTATTTCTTTTAGCTAACTATTTCAACAAATAATCGATTGATGTTACATTTATCTTATTTAATCTATGCAGTACTTTTAGCCATTTTAACTATATACATTACATTTAGCTAAGTATTTCAAAAAAAATCTCTATAGCGTTACTTTTAGCTAATTGAGCTTATCCATGATGTTTAGTTATTCTAACCATTTATCAGTTACCTTTATCTGTTTCTCTGCTTGCATGCTAAATACTTTCAGCAGTCTTTAACCACAGATTATATACAAATATAGTTAAGTACTTAATAGATAAATACTGTATGGTCTATTATTGTTAAGCACGCACATATGTAAGGTTACTTTTAATTAAAGCGCTGGTCAACACAAACACGTGCTCTTTCCAGTACATTCATAGCTCTTTCTGCTCAGACACTGAACCTCACGAGGACAGGCTGATCACGTGAAGGCAGCATAGTGCGCAGCAGACTCAGCGCAGACGCACTACTTCCCCCCCGGTCAGCTGACTGTGAGTGAGATGTTGTGTTGAAGGACCTCTGAGGCGAAAACCTGCTATTATCTGCGCTATGTATGGGAAGCTGCGATTACTTGACTGAATTACAGCGTGTGGACCAAACACTGAAGGCGTTAAACACATCGGTAAGTATGAATATTTTATGTTTATTGATGTCGTGACAGCGTGAGGCTGCACTGCAAACAAGCTCATGTCAGCAGCTAGCTAGCAGTGAATTTAACCATGTATGAACCTGGATTATTTTGTTGTCTGCCACTTTTGATTAGATGCTGATCTACAAATCAAACCCGAAGAGCAGCATTTCTTAATCACGCGATGTTGTTGGTTTTTAATAAAGAGGGAGATCAGTATTTAGCATGTCCTCTACAATATGAAGACTGATCATATGACAGTCAATCAGCAGACATGGAGACATGTCTGTCTCTGCTGTCCTTTCCTGATGCAATCAGTCAGTTCTGTTTGGCTCAGTGACCACACTATAACCATTGGGAAATGTGAGGAAGTCCGTGAATCGGAGGCAAAATAGAACTCAAAAGAGGAAGAAAGGACTTTATAATATGACTCTGATTCATGTACTGATAATTGCACTTTGTGAATTGGTGGAAAAGTACTCAGATCCTTTAAAATCTACTATAACACTCAGTTCCAAGTAAAAGTCATGCATTCAATATTTTAGTTTAGTAAAAGAACAACAATATTATCTGTATTAGTCAGTGTCCAAGTTAAAAGTGATCCTGTAATTATGTAGAATGATCTCTGTCAGAGCTTTATACTATCATATATTTATATCTATCATATATATTATGTTCTTGGTTTATTGATGCGTTTACATGTAAGCAGCATTTTATATTTTAGCTGGTTGAGATGGGGCCGATTTCTGCTACTTAATCTGTTGGTTAATCATACGTTTGCTTAGAAACTCTTAATCCAAAGCGTCACCAGTAACTTAAATTGTGAGATAAGTGTTGTGGGGCAAAAGGTAGAATATTCCCCTTTGAAGCGTTAAATGGATATATTCAAGTAAAGAACAAACGTTGCAAAATTGAACTTAAGCACAGCACTTGGGTAAACCTAGGCCTGCATATAACTACTTTTATAATGAAAGACTCAGAGTGCAAAGTTGGACCTTGTTAAAATTGTCTACCCTCCAAACACACAATACCATTTCCCCACCACTTTGAGTTGTTTAGGTAATAATTAGAATAACATGTAGGAGTGGGCTGAATGAATAAAATCCTTTATCACTCCATCCATTCCTTTTCCATTTATCACTGTTTTGTGCTAATCCAGCAAGTAAAAGGGCTGACAAATAGTGTGAAAGCCATATAAAAATCCAAAATTACAATAAAGCACTCCTGCTCACTGATTTCAGACATTGCCCGCAATGATGAAACAACAATATGTCTGACAGCAGATTTTTACTTTTTACTTGCCCTCCTTCTTCGTACGATCGGAGTAAGGAACAGAACAGCAGTCCCGGACAAAGTCTCAATAAGAGATTCATTACTCTTACCTCTCTCGACAGTGACTTCCTTACACTCGAGGCCCGGTGGACAAACTTTCCTGCCAGCAGCCATGACAGAATTCTGGTTAATCTCCGCTCCGGGGGAGAAGACGTGCCAGCAGACCTGGGACAAGATGATGGTCGCCACCTCACGCACCAACAACCTCTCTACCAACAACAAGTTCAACATCCCTGACCTCAAGGTTAGACACAGCAGTCATCTGTAGCTACAGCCACTGTAGGGGAAAGCATGGGTGGACAGCAAAATGGCTGTGATGGAGCATTTTGTTATAATTTTGTGCTCTGTCTCCATCAGGTCGGAACACTAGACGTCTTAGTGGGTCTGTCGGATGAGCTGGCTAAACTGGACACTTTTGTGGAGAGGTAAACTTTACATTTACCAAGATCAACTTGTACATGTTATTTCTCAGTTGAAATGGTTTGTAAACTGTAAAATGCCTTCGGTATCTGTTAGGCAGAGGGAGACTCATGCTAAGCTAAAGCCAAGTTTTGTGATGAACAAGTGTCTTATTATAGTACAATCCTGACTGTTTTCTTTCTGATCCCTGCGTTGTGCTTCAGTGTGGTGAAGAAGGTCGCTCAGTACATGGCTGATGTTCTGGAGGACAGCCGAGACAAAGTCCAGGAGAATCTACTGGCTAATGGAGGTAATCTCCGTTACCATCCTCACAGTGATGCACAGACGTTGTTGGTGTTGTTGATAAGACTTCAAAGCGTGAAGTGATTGTGGTTAGCACTTACTATGTCTGCAGCTGTATAATCATGATAGCATACAAAACCAATTTAAGTAGATGTGATGAATGCTGATGGCTTTATCTGTTTCTTTCTAACTCTCCGCAGTTGACCTGGTCACTTATATCACCAGATTTCAGTGGGACATGGCAAAGTACCCAATCAAACAGTCTCTGAAAAACATCTCTGAGATCATCTCCAAGGTATGTTAGAAAATCACCTGTACACATAATGTTAATCTTATATACACAACGGGCGCTTTAGTAGGAATGTTACTGTGACCTTTCTGTCAGCTCCCGCCAGTCTGATCATTCTCCTCTGACCTCCCTCATCAACAAGGCACCCGCCATCCACAAGCCTTCTGCTCACTGGATATATTTTGTTTTTGGCACCATCCTGGCGCTGCTGTGTGTGAAAATCCGTGTAGAACAGCAGTTTCAGAAATACTCAAACCAGCCCGTCTGGCATCAACAATCACGCCACGGTCACATATCACATACAGACATTTTGATTTAGCAGAAAATGTCCGGTACTGAACTAACTTCTAACAGTCACCTTCTCGTGCTTGGTTTCTAGCAAGCGACTCAGATAGACAACGACCTGAAGGCCAGAGCTTCGGCCTACAACAATCTGAAGGGAAATTTGCAAAATCTGGAGAGGAAGAATGCGTGAGTAACAGCGGAAAACATCTGTCCCTCTTTTCGTCGGTTTGTTTTTAAAGAAGACTAAATCTCCATGCATGTGGCCCTGAATCTGATTACAGAAGTCTTGACTGTATCCCCTTTTATTCCAATAACGAATGATGAGCTTGTATTTTTCTGTAAATTTGAAATCTGAATAATGTACGATAAGGTGCCATCAACCTTAACACCTCAAACATGAGCATTACAATCAAAATGATCTTTGTGTAAAAGTCATCCATAACCTACACACAGCAGTTACATACAACATCCATCAGAAAGCATTGGGTAGAGAGCTCTTTCTCTTTCTTGTTTTTCCTGTGCTAGCAAGAGAAAAACTCCATTTACATTGTTGCCTTAATAATAAACAGTACTTTAGACATCACACTCTGTGAGCCAGCCCTGATTTCATGCTGTAGCATCAAGAATTTGCTAGGCACTACTTCTTCTTACCAAAATGTAAGTTTTTTGCAGCCTCCTTTGGATGATGTCTTTGTATCACTACAGAAGATGAGATTGAAGTAGTTATTATAGTTTGGTTAAATCAGTACCTCAGCACTTTGCATTGTGTATTTGGGGGACCTACAGCAAAATGAGACTTTTCTTACTCTTCTCAAGTTGCCTGTGTGTTGTCATATGTCGTCCTTTAGGGGGAGCTTGTTGACCAGGAGTCTGGCTGACATCGTGAAGAAGGAGGACTTTGTACTGGACTCAGAGTACCTGATTACCATGCTGGTAGTCGTCCCAAAGTAAGTACAGCTTCGCCAATGTCTCTATATCCAGTATGGAGACTGATTTTTATTTTGTAAAAAGAAAAAAAGTTTATTTCCTTCATTCATTTTGTTTTAATAATTTATTTTTTTAGGTATAATATGCTTTATATAGGGCAAACAGAATAGATTTTAGGCCTGGGAATGGTAATATTCTACACATGCATACATTTTTCTTTAACAGAAAACAGTGTCTGCTTTTTTGTTCAAGAACTTCAGTATTAGTGTCAACCTTAAAATTTCATGTTCAAATGTAAAAACACACTGCTGTTATCTTTCCCTTTCTACTGTCACCAGGACGGGCTACACTGACTGGCAGAAGACGTATGAAACGCTGGCAGAAATGGTTGTACCACGCTCCACTAAGTAAGAATTACTAGATGATTCCGCTCAGTTTTATTTCAAATTTATATTTAAAAAATAAAACTAAGACTAAACAGAAAAAAACATAGACTCATAGATTGTGTCCCTTTTTTAATTCACAATTTAAAATTTTTTTTTTTTTCGAACTTCCTTAGACCAAAGACGTCTCCCTTTCTCACCCCTCTTCAGTTGGTTTAGCCTTGTGCTTGACTCTGATTAAAATTGGAAATATTTCATGGTTGACCTGCAAAAAGCAATTGACTCCCATTAGAATAGAAAACATTACGTGGTTGACCTGTAGAAAGGAACTGACCTTTTGCCAACATGGCCAGATGATTTGAGACGGGCACAGCTCAGTGTGATGTGGTAACCTAGCAACCTGCATTTCCAGAACAGATATGGAGCTCTATCTGCCGATATGATCTGGGAACACGAAACTTCCTTTGATCCACAAGAGAAATTAGGAGCAGTGAGGAGAGGAGGACTTTTCTGTTTTCCTGTGATTCTTTTTTTTTTTTTTAATTCCAAACTTTACTTTGATAATATCTTGCTGACAACTGTTCATAAATCCCTGGGCAAGTTGAAGAGTTTGATGATGTGCATTTGGCTCTTAGTTGTAGATACTTTCTATCTAGTATCTAGAAATTGTTTTCCAGCGTACATAACTGGTTTGGGTTCATTGCAACAAGCAATGTGTTTATTTGGGAGAATTTAGTTGTTGTTGCATTAGCTACACAAATGGTGACTAATGTGTATGTTTGATATGAAAATCTGTGCCCGTGATCAATTGCTAGTTTCTTGGCAGTACTGACCTGTACGGGCGTGGGAGAGAATCGGAGAGTCAAAAATGGAGTAAGGTATCATATTAGGTGTGTCATACTATCCAGTTATCTATGAGCCTTTCATAGCACCTTGTTTTTTTTCTATGCTGTTATTGGATGGTTGAGTGCGTGGTCCATAGGACTGGTTGTTACAGTTAGGGGAGGATGTGACACTTGGTGCCTTATGTGCAATACTTGACAAAGGTGGCTGGACCAACGTGTAGCTCTTCAGTACATTTACAATGTGCTGGAGCGGTGTTACTTTTAGTCATCTTTTAATCTCATAATATATAAACTGTATAAACTGTAGCACAAACTGGTCCACAAAAGAGGTGTGTCATGGCTTGTTGTCAGTTGTGAGACGGGAGCGGATGGTACAAATAGACTGACTCGACACAAGAGGAAATGTTGACTCTTAACCCGCGCAGCAACATAATCATTTAAATGATCTTTTACATGAACAGATGGAACCTGTGTGTTTTGGTTTATGAAGTATAAGATTGACCAGAGAGCCTGTGTTGTGCGTGTCTTCTACGACAAATACTGCAGATGTGCGAGTCTGTAGCAAACACACTGTGCGCTCCGGCTCTCATGTCGATCTGTCGTCCTGTGTCCTCTCCTCCAGGCTGCTGTTTGAAGACAACGACAGCGGTCTGTTCAGTGTCACTCTCTTCAGGAAGGCTGTGGATGACTTCAAGCACAAGGCCAGGGAAAACAAGTAAAGGACTCAGTTTCACTTGTATCATTGGAATGTGAGCTGCTCAAAGGGTTTATGTGTAAATTTAATCACAGCAAGGTTTGTTAAAAATGTTTTTCTTTGGACTTATGTTTGGCTTTTAGCCATTTGACAGATGTTTGTTTTTAAATTACAGATTATTTTTATTATTGGTGGTTTTCCAGGAATGATGTTTATTTATCCTGCGGGAAATCAACCACACACTAACAGTGATAATGATGAAGTAGGCTATCTGTTTGTTAACACAGGAACTGCCTTGTTATGCTCTAAAAAAAGACACGATAAACACAATTTTGCCAGCACTCGACAGTCTCTCCAATTAGCACAACAGAGGAATCTCATTGTGTGTGCTTACGTATCTACGTGTTTGTATGTAGCCTATTTTCAGAAGTGCACTTGAGTGTGGGTGTATGTGTGTGTGTGTGTGCTCATGCACGTCTGTGTGTTTGCTGACAGCTGATTGCACGCTCTCTGCTGTGTGTCCTGACCCAGGTTTACAGTGCGTGATTTCCAGTACAATGAGGAGGAGATGAAGGCAGACAAAGAAGAGATGACACGTTTGTCCACTGACAAGAAGAAACAGTTTGTACGGCTGCTGTTTTCTTCACAAAGCGTACTGATGGCCATCTAGGGAAGGAGGAAGTTACTGGAGCTCACTATTCACAGAGAGGGTTTTGACTTGGTTTTGATGCTGAGAACCTTTGGCTCCGTAAATATCTAAGCATCTAAAACAGTGATTATTTCACCAGTGATTTCAACTAAATTATTACTGAGCTCAACAATAAATTAAGTTAGGGTAAATAATGACAAAACAGTGCATCAGCTTTAGACCTCATCTGTGGGATGAGTATTTATTTTTGGTCAGTTCCAGGAAATTGAGAGGCATGTGAAAATGATTAAAATGATGTTGCTGTGCTTACAGGGGCCTTTGGTACGATGGCTGAAAGTGAATTTCAGTGAAGCCTTCATCGCGTGGATTCACATAAAAGCCCTGCGTGTGTTTGTGGAATCAGTACTGAGGTGAGAGAGTTAAGACTTAGCAGTTTCCACGAGGTTTAGCTGCGCCGTGCTTTTCTTTCCCATTCTCTGCTAACAGCAAGTTTAGGACTCCATCCATCCATCCATCTACCCTGTTAGCGTAAGATTAGTGCCATGTCCTGTTTGTGAAACGTTAAAGTCTCTTGTGTTTCATAGATATGGGCTACCAGTCAACTTCCAGGCCATGCTGCTTCAGCCCAACAAGAAGAACATGAAGAAGCTGAGGGAGGTGCTGTATGACCTGTACAAACATCTGGACAGCAGTGCTGCCATCATTGATGTGAGTCTCATTCACACACTCTTTGGAAAATATAATTATTTTAATATAATTATTTTAATAAGCAGCGTTTAGGAAGACTGAAGTCCTGATCATCCCACGATCTGGGAGTTTGGAGTTACTGGCGTCTGGTCATTTCTTCAGGATGAGGGGACTAAAAAGATAAAATTATTCCATGTGTTAGTTGCTATGGATATTTTAAACTCCCACCATACATCCATCTTAACTGGACTTGATGATGATTTACATATGTATATGATATTTGTCTTCCTGTCCCTCCTCTGTGCCTGCAGGCCTCCATGGACATCCCAGGTCTGAATTTGAGCCAGCAGGAATATTACCCCTATGTTTACTACAAGATCGACTGCAACCTGCTGGACTTCAAAGTCTAGATACATTGCCATCATCATCATCATCATCATGTGCAGTAGTGTTCTGGTGTGACTCCGTCACATCACCAAGCTTTAATTTATTTCCACACCCACTCTGTTTTCCTGATTTTCTCACTGTCTGCGTCCCCCCCCCCCGCTTATGTTCCTGGCACATCTGGCACATTCCTGGGTCTAACCAGAATAAGTTGTTAGGAATCAGAACTGATTGGTGACAGTAAGTAAGGTCAGATAGATTACAGAGGTAAACTGTCTCCAGTCATAACTTCTGTTCTAATACACTTGAATATGGGAACGCTCCTCTGTTGTCACTTCCTCTTTGTATTACGCTGTAAAAGTGAACAGCTTCACAGTGTACTCCCACCAAAATGGTTGACATTCCCTTGTGGCATCAAAGGACTTATACTGCATTTTCATTGTCACCCCCCCCTCATTCTACTTTATTTAAAGTAACATGAATGGTACATATGTGGGGGAAGTGGGGGGTGGGGTGGGGTGGGGGGGAGATAAATGTATGTTAAATATTGTATTTATTTAAAGACTCTAAAATCAGTGAATGTGTTTTTGTTTGTTCAGTTTTTGAAGGTGATGTGTTTTTAGCTCCATGTAAGGAATGTCTGTTTACAAGTAGATGTTGACCACGGTTTCCCCCTCTCCAGCTATTATCCTGTGAAATACTGAAACTGCTCATTTTACAGTATAAAGAAGCAATATGTTTGCTGCTCGTATGCTCCTTTTGATTTCTGTATATTAGCAATTTTAAGAATAACTATGATAGGTCTATGTGCAAATACTGTATTGTCAGTATAACTGAAAATTGAACCACATATATTTAAAGTAAATGTGAAAATAAATACTCTATGTGAAAGATACTTGACTTCACTTCACTTTATATTCCTGCAGAATACAAATATAATACAAGAAGTACAGCCTAAAAAATCTTTCTCCAGACTTAATATGTTTTCATCTCTTTATTCTATCACAGAATACCAAAACCACTCCTGAACAACTTAATAATATTTACAACTGCAAATAAGATGGACTATTGCAAAACCCAAAACTTGCAAAATCAGTCTCTTTCAAGTTGCTTCTGAAAACCCACTTTCATCCAAAGGCTTTTAACAATTTAACTCCAGGTTAACGTGTGTCTATGTGCATATGCACGTAGGCCTACATTCAATAATTTCACATTGCTCACTTGATTTTTCGTCTTGTTTTAAACATAAAAATGATTGTTATTATGTGTTAAGGTTCTGGCAGTAGACAAACAAAATGTGACAGTCCGTGCAGAAATACATACAGAGGCACATTTTTCATCCTAAATTATTTTTGCCAATCAATATTTCTAACTGTAACTTCTGACCCTTTACCAGCATTTATAACTGCATTATTGTCAAGATGGATAAACATCTTTTCACAACATGCCAACCTAAACTTTTCTTGATAAAGTCTTTTATTAACAATTAATCACTCCATTTTTGAAAGAGTGTGTAATCAGAGTGGTACTGATTTTTTTTTGTGTGTGTGTTGTCTTTTATGTCCTTGTGATTATTTTTTAATTTTAAGAAATCAGCAAAGCTCTTATAAAGACAAATGTATACAATATAAAAAGACATTCAGAAAATATGAATAATAGTTACTGGTTTAGTACATATTTGCATGGTGATGATGATGATGATGGTGGTGATAGTGATGATGCTGACAGAGGCTGGACTTGATTTCCCTCACAGCCTATCAGCAGATGCACTTTCACCCCTCCAACTCCAACTCCACCTCCCCCACCCCTCTCCATTCTCTCTCTCTCTCTCTCTCTCTCTCTTCTCTTACTCTCTCTCTCTCTCTCTCTCTCTCTCTCTCTCTCGCAGATGACGCAGATAGCTCCGGTGTATGTGTTCATACTGCTCAGCTGCTGTCTGTGGAGAGCAGCATCAACGACCACCAGCTCCACCAACACCAACAGCAGCAGCAGCAGCAGCAGCAGCAGCTCCGACTGAAGATGGAGACGGAAACATGGATAGAGCTGCAGTAGGGATCCGGGGAGGATGCTGCAGCTGTTGTGAGACAGGCCGAGCCGTGTTCAGCTGCAGCTACACCTGCCGTGGATGATTTTCCCGATGGGTTGTGGAGGGAGTCGGGCGGACGCGATCATCGAGCCGAGGTATCATGAAAGCTGGACCAGGGAGACGGAATCGACGTGGCTTACCAATACGGACGTAGAGACCCCCCTCTCAGTAGCAAACAGTAAGAGCCTCCGTCGTCCTTCATTGCACGTACCACAGGCCACATAACACTCAATCTCTGTTGGTCTCAAATATGATCAAACATTGCAGAGAGGCTGCACTGCAAAGCTAAATGAACCATTCAAAACACAGCCAGCTGTCAACTCCCTGACATGGCAGTTTTGTTTCACCTCTATTGTTTTCTTATTGCTGAATGAAGCCAGGACAAGAATGTGCTTGTGTTTCAAGTGATAACCTACTGGAAGTCCTTAACTGTTGTCCAAAGGTAAAGCCCTGGAGGCCAGTCTGCGAGAGAAGAGGATGGTGAACACAGGCACCCAGTGTGGGAAGCAGGCCCTCACCACCACCACCTCCATCTCCACCTCCACCACCTCCACCACCACCACCACCACCACCACTACCACCACCACCGGCTCAAACCATCAGAGGAGACCCAGACGCTCCTTAAGTGATGTAGGTAGCACTGGCAGTAGGTGCTGGCATGTCTGGCTGCTTAAAAAAAACGAACAGCAGCACCCTCTGCCCGAGCAGCATGACATAATGTAGCCGTGATGCCAGGTTGCTCTGCAGAATCAGAATCAACTTTAATCTGACTCCAGCTGTCAGAAGCTTTCAATATATTTACTCAGAATGTACTCAAGGCATGAAGAAGTTTCCCTATCTGGAATAGATTTGTAGAGATGTGATGGAAGTTTGCCCCTTTTTTTTGTTTTTTAAATTACAGGCCAAATTTACAAGACGACACAAATATAGACATACACAAAGAAAGAAAAGCAAACATATTATATACAGACTGGAGCTGGACATCAACCCTGCAGTATCTATAGATAATCACTGCATACTGCAGTAAATGTGGGGTTAGGGTAGAAGTAGTGCAGGAGTGCACAGTAGTGCAAAGATCGCTGGAATAACTGCTGTGTGGAAGGATAATAAGTAATTCATTATACAGAGGTGTAAACCTGAAATGATTGTTTGATGAATTGATTAGTTGATTAACAGAAAATTCACTTTTTGATACTTCTTTCACAAAAAAATCATCTGATTTCAACAGTTATATAGTTAACTATATCTTTGAGCCTTGGACTAAAACAAGGAATTTTAAGAGGTGCTACCTGAATTATAATTATTGTTTTCCACTTCTGTCTGACGCTATAGACAAAGTGATTTATAGTGAAATTAAGCACAATCAGTGAAAATAATCATTAGCCTACAAAGGTGGTTTACACTATCCATATACTATCTATCAATACTACTATCAACTACTAAAAATATTCTTGATTCTTAGGAGCATGTCCTATCATAACATTTGCTTCCAACCATCTGTTTCTCTAATCTTTTATCTTTAGAGCTAATTGCACTAAAGAAACTGAGTGTTATCTCCTCCCAGAACGCAAACTTATGGGTTCTAAAACTTATGTAGAGGTGTTAGAAAGACTAAGACATATAACGCTGTTTAGGCATGTCTTAGATTCAGTTTGGGGGTCTGTTATTGAGGACTGAGTTATGAATGTTTCTCGTCCTTTACAAAACTCATTTAACAATTCAAAACGATCTGAAAAATTGATTCCTCTGACCCAACAAATTACGTTTTCAGCATCTCAGAAACAAAGACTGTTGTGCTTTATTTATTTAACCTTCCACTTAAGGGCAGTGCTCCAGCAACTCAGTTCTCAGTTGGTCGTCTTCGCCCACTCGCTCTCTGTCCAATGTGGTGACATTTAAATGACGTGACCTTCAAATTCTTACATCTTTCCACAGCAAACCACCCGTGACTCCAAAAGGAGGGCATCAAAGGAGGCCAACGCTTTGTCTAAGGATGGGCAGTCTGTCAATATCAATGGTAGTGGAGACGCTGAACCTGGAAATGTGTGTGATGAAAGATGAAGACAGGCTGAGACTCTGTGAAGAGGAAGATGGCCGGAGCTCTGAGCAGTTCATCAGAGGATGGGATGGTGATTTGCAGAAGTGTGCGGATGATGTTTGCCAGTGACTTTGCAAGATTTACAACATAAGCTCCTGCATTTGTCTCCACCCAAAGATCTCGGGATGCTGCATCTTTGTTGTTGCCATTGCAAATGCATGTGTGAAGCAGAGAGTGGGTCACAAACAGTGTTCACACCCTCCACCATGCTTTTCTCCCATGCTTATGGCGCCGGTCAGGGAATGTGCCACTGTGTTAAAGCCAGTTTTAAGAAACAGAGTCCCATATGCACATGATAATCACAATCTGCACATCAAATGTTTTGCGTGTGGGGCCTTCCTAAAGAATTAGCTTCAGTTCTTTGTGCAAGTGTATTCCTTTTGTTGTGAATGACAGACAATAGTGTGGGAACCAATGATGATGCTGTTTAACCTCAGTCAGTGTTGTAAATGATTTTCATTTAGAAGAACCTGAAGTGCTGTTTAGAAGCTGTGATTTGGAGGTTTGAAGCTTGAAGGCTGCAGACTTATCTTTTCCAGCGTTCAAAAGATAAAGAAACAAACACACCCGCATGTGCCTACAACTTATTTAGATTTGAACTGCTCCTGTGTTTATTTATTTATTTTTTTTAACTTTGTTCAGTATTGTCTTTTCCAGTTCTCTTGCATCTTCCTTTATGTTGTATGATTTTACAATTTATTATTTACCACAGCATATTGTGAAAATGTGTCATTTGTTTGGCTGACGCTGATCTGCATGTATAAATCAATCACGAATTGATTCAGCATTGGTGACAAGTCTCTGCCCAAACATAGTCAAAAATCGAGCTGATTGAAATTCAACATTTTGCCCATCCAATACACATGGAAATGGATCATAAGGATAATGAGATTTACAGCCAGCAGATGGTGCTGATGATCAGCTGGGGTTTAACTAATTGAAAACCCCTGGTGAATTGCTATTGACAATAACAACCCCTTTTAAGAAAGCTATTGATTTAATAGAGGATGTTGAGTTCAGCTCTGCTGGAGAGTAATTGAAAGTCAACCATGTTGGTCATGTCTTGTCAGTAAATTGAGAGTCTGGTTTAATATTTGATGCTTATGATAACACCGAGATGATAATGATACTGTGTGTTCATGCAGGCCAACTTTGCTTTGTGATGGAAAAGAAAATTTAAAGTCTTACACACAGGATCTGCCACATTTTTTCTTTGTATTAAAATTGTTGTCAGCTTCTTTAGTTGTGAAACCCACAAAAAGTGATATGTGCAATCATTTCTCATTAGCTATGGGCAAAGGCCACAGCAGAGTTAAATAGGCTAAATCAATAGACCAATATCTTGCATTTCTATATATCTTAAGACCTAATACATTTAGATATACAGTTATCTGATTTTCCCTTACCAAGCCCACAATCACATGAGTTAATTGCAGTCATTTTATTTGTTTGCTTATAATCATCATCTTTCAGCAAGAAAAGCAAAAACCAGTGAAGTTTGTATCTATTTATTTATTTATTTATGTAATGTAGGCTAGTAGATCAACAAGAAATGGCAAAAAAATAGACCTTATTTTTTCCCATGAAATAAAATACATCAGCTAACATGACCTTTGTGAATTTTAGTCCTTACCTTATAATTTGATTACAGGTGTAACCAGGGAAATATTAGTAATTTGAGATTCAAATTATGCCGTTCCGTCTTTATACCGCAGCCATTAGTCTGTAAGTTAAATAATCAATGACATACAGTATATGTTCAATACAATCATAGAAAATCTTGATGTGGCATGTAACAGCACAGTCAGGAGATGGAGCTCTGGTAAAGAAAATGTGTGCAGCTAAATGAGAAGTAAAGGAAGTTGCCCACTGTAGTGCTGTCTGAAGTGATTAGCACAACTTGATGTTAATAGTAGGCAGTGGTGAAAATAAGATAAAAGATCCTCTATTTAATTGAATATAGGCTATTAATATTACAGTAAATATATACTCAGTATACCCAGTTAAAAGTCCTGCATTTAAAACTTAAGTAAAAGTATGTAAGTATGAACAGTTAAAGTTTCATAAGTGAAAGTGGGCAACCATATTATGCACAATGACCCCTTTAACTAGTTACATATTATGTTATTTATTCGATTATAGTAATTGATTACTTTTACTCAAGTCTTAACATGTCATCAATATTTTTAATGTGGTACCTGAATGAGACTGAGCTACTTTTACTTATTGTAGGCTACTGGTGGTAATCATTAACAATGTGTGGTAATTTATAAGACAATTTTATGCTTTGTGAGCCTAACATCTACATCTTCAAAGCAGGAATTTAAAATAAGACTTCATTGATCCCTGAAGGGGAAATCACACCTTACATAGAGACAAGCTATGAGGTAAGAAAACAGATAAAGAGCTATGTGTATGAAATAAATTGAAATAAAAAAGAAATTAATTACATTTCCTCAAAAAGCTGTATATGTCCTACATATTATAATACCTTGGCTATATAAGGGTTTATAAGGGTTATAAGGGTTTGTTCACAAGCTATTTACGCAAAAGAAATCCAGAACTATAGATGTCAAATAAAAAAAAGTATTAAGAAGCATAAAATGGAATTACTGATGTAATGTAAAAGTACCTCAATATTTTGTGACTGAATAAATGTATTAAGTTACTAGCCAACTTAGCTATTTTAATCACCAAAATTCTCAGTTGTAATGCACATTTTAACCCATTAACATTAATATAAAACATTACAGACTGGAAAAATAAGTTGACAATTATAACTCATACCATGCTAACTGACAACTGATGTTTTGCACTTTAATTTAATTAAACAAGCTATGTGGTTGAGGTTATAGCCTACAGCTTTAAGTCTGGTGCAGTAAGTTTGGTACAAAATCAAAAGTCAGATTTTTAAATGTTAAAATAAAGATTAGAAATGAACCAGAGATGATGGGAAAGGCAGAAAAAATATTGCATGGCTTCGATTATTGTCAGCAACTAATTTCGATAATTTTTGCAAATGTTTTTAAGTTTTCAAAAAACAAAACAAACAATAACAAAGAAAACGTCCGCCATCTTGTCAGGTTCTCTCGAGTATTTTGAAAAACTCTAGAATTTTTTATGGACCTTATATGACTTAAAACCACACACCTGATGGCGGAAGCTCTTTAATGACAATTTCCTCTTCCTGTTGAAACTGATTACGACGCAGGCTAACCGGCGGGCACCGAGACCACGCGGAAACTCTCTCAACCGTCTGTCTGTCACTCTGAACCGTTGGTGCTTTTCGTTCACACCGGACAGATAACAGCTGAGAGAACGGTCAACGTCTGACTTTACGTAGCTGTGCGATTCTAAAACATTACTAGACAGTTTTCTTTCATTTTTTTCTTTCCAGTAATGTGGTTAAAATGATGTGAGGATGGCCAAGCGACCGGGGACTGACGACGGGATGCTGACTTCGCCGACCATTCTCCGGGATTTCGCCGCCGACTTGAACACCGGGGATGTGAACATGGACTGCGGCGACGGAGCCGAGGAGGTCTCCTTGGAAGAAATCTTGACTCTTTACAGCCAGCCGATAAACGAGGAGCAGGCATGGGCAGTGTGCTATCAGTGTTGTCGGACTTTAGCACAGAGACATCGGAGGAAAGGCTCCAAGTCTGCCGGTGCTTCTGCTGCCGACTATCCGAGGAGGATTGAGGGACCCGGGGATGTGAAAATCGGGAGAGACGGGACTGTCAAACTGCACTTTGAAGACGGCACAGGTAAACGAACCGAGCCCAGCCAGGTGTCGGGGATTTTTCTCAAACGTGTGTCTGCTTTGAGTAACTGCGCAGCGAAACGGCTGTTACCTCAACAGGCTGCCAACAATGAAGCATTTTTCCTTCGCATCACTCACAGGCCAAGCGAACGGAGCATCCCTACAAAGAGGCCATATTGTTGTGGCTGTCTGCTTCCAGCCATGTGGTGAATTTGTTTACAGACGCCCGATGCGGTTGTTATTAATACATCATTGATCACCACATAGCTTCTGGGAATCATAAAGAGCAAGAAAACTGTATCATCAATTATAACCGACCATGGTTTGCTATCACAACAAAATCTGGTATTTACATTGTAAACATGGCTAATAATATTGCTTCATTCAAACGGGGGTGATAACAGGGCTTGTTCAGAATGGCTGCTTTGGGTTTGTGTTTAAAATAATGCTCCTGCAGCGGTCAGTTAGCTTCAGTAAACAATGAACCATGTGATGGATTCAAACTGCAGAGCACCTTGGGAGCAATCCAGAGCAAAGCTATATAGGCAGAATTAAGGCCAAATACAGATGACTCATATTGCTGCTAACAGCCCCATTATTTGTGTTGTGACATTTAGATAAGAGCACAGATTAATGGGGGGGGGTCTAGTAGTTCAGAGCCAGTGTTTGGTGTGGGCTGCCTGGTGTCAAACACAAGGAAAACGTATTTCAATATAGCTTGATGAATGTATAGAGATCACAGTTAGCAATGCACATAGGCTGCATAAAGTGCATGTCATCAGTGCTGGTCCTGAAGGTCCGGTTTGTTTCAGGTTAGTGTTCCACCTCAACTGTACAGTATATCTCAGAGCTGAAATGATTAATAGATTAATTGATCAGTCAGATTACAGGAAATTACTAAGAAGCACTTTTGATAACCATTTAAATTACTTTTCAAGCAAAAATTCCACTGGTTCTACTCTCACAATTGTGAGTATTTGCTTGTTTTTGTAGTTGTCTATGACAGTAAGTTAAATACCTTTTTGGGTTTTGCACTGTTGGTTGAACAAAGGAAGCAATATGAAGATGTCACCATAGGTTTTCTGCCATTTACTGACATTTCAAAGTGATCAATCTTGAATGAAAATAATCATCAGTTGCAGCACTAATTTACTTGACAACAGGAATAGTAAAGCAGTTAATGAAAATATTACGCAATTTCAGGCCTTTCGACTGGGATCTGCTGTCATTTAATGTTGTCAGGCATAGATTTACACCTGGGATGCAAGCTGAAATATTTATATTATTGCAGACCAAATGGTAAATCTGGAGTAAAAATAATCCCCGATTTCCAAACCAACAGGGATCTGTGTCCTGTAATGTATTTTTAAAAACACATTCTCTATTCAAAGGAGCCTCTGGGTGTGTAGAGAGATGTACACAATGTTTCAAAGCATTGTACCCTTTTAACTGGACTTCATTAATATGTGGGATTTTGGGTTTGGGAGGAGGAGGTGTGGATGTCAGCAGAGCCTCAGGCACTGAGGTTATGTTCTCTCTCTCCTGGGAACCTATTAACCACCTTTCTTCTTATTTTCCCCTCCCCTGTTTACCCCCACCCCACCCCCACCACCACCACAACCACCATTTCTGTCTTTAGCTGACCCCTCAGTCCAGCTCCTCTTCATCTCAGCGTACTAAACCAACCACCAGTAATGTTTGTTGTGTGGAAATTACACTTCCAGTATAAACAGATTCAGTCAGTGCTGCTGAGTGTCTTGGCATAGTCAAAAATAGAACAAACGTGATGATTAGATGCAAAGGCTTTAGAAATCTGACTGCAGATGAGTTTGGAGATTATGAGGAGAGTCCTTTGCTGCTCCTCTGGCTAGTTGCTGGGTATTTTGGGACAGCTTGGCACTGTCCTGATTCTTATTAGGCCTGGCGATGAGAGAGATGTGAGACTTATTAAGCCTCCAGTAGCTCAGCGGCTAGTTTAAGAGGTTACTACTCCTGCAGAAAATCAATGCTTATGCAACGTACGTATGGCCTGCACATGAGTCAGTGACAAGGTGGCATGATTTGGCCAGCACCCAGACCACCAACCACCAACACTGAGCTCTGCAGCCGATATCACCCTGTGTAAAGATGTTGTCTAGAGCCATACACTGCTGCTGTGGTCAGCTATCAAGCCATCTCAGCAAACAAGGAAGTGTTTATTTTTGTGTTGCATTGCAAACACAATCTGACTAATAAGCAGGATGGAGTCCAAATCAAGTCTTATTTTAGACTCAATTGATGCAAGATATACACCGCCCCTGCTGCAGTCCCATCAATTCACACGGAGCATGGTGATGAATATATTCACTCCTACTCCACGTTGCCGAAAGCAGGGCCAAGCCTGAATGCTGCATCAAGATGAAAGTTGTTTACCCCAAGACTTTCAATGATTCACACCTACAGTACAGAGTTTTTTTCCCTTTTTGTTGATTTGGTGCATGCAGTATTTTAACTGGAATGATATTCATACAGTTAATGTGGTTAATTATCTCATTGAATGGGTTTGAGTAAGAA